ATAGACATACAAGGCGGATAATCCATACAAGGACAGGAAGAAAGTTGTCTGCAAAAAACAACAGTAGACCAACCAGAGGATATTATACTTACGAGACATCATAGGAAACACAGCAGCAGAGAAGCGCCTCTTGGCTCAGGCTGAAGTTCGGCGTACTTAGGAAGTTCAACCGAAACCAAAATCAACAGAAAACAGAGGGCCTCGATGGAGTAGAACTTACTGGAGCAGGAGTTATCCCAATAAACATGTTTAATCTCCTGTAAACTTGCAGCAGCTAGTGTACACTAAGCGAAGATCCAAACCACAAGCTGTGATGCAAAGTAGCGCTGATTCGGAGGAGATATAGATGTCGACACGACATGGTCCAACGGGAGTTGGCTGATATGTTGGAGGTGGAAAAGAGAAGTAAACGATAAGATATGGAGGAAAGAAAGATACAGTTTGTGAAACAAATTGAGGGAACGGCTGATACAACAGCAGCAAGGCAGACATCAATGGTGAATAGCTGGAGGACATGACTCGGAGCCCAGAGTGGATTTAGTCAGGAAAGTAGTTCTCCCTAACATCGTGGAAACCAACCTATGACCATACACAGTATTAGTGTCCCAGCAGTCGAAATCATTCGTTGCAATAAAACTAATCATGCCATGGAAAGAAAATTTTGAAAAAGTACATGAGAGAAAGAGCCTTTAATATGCAGACCTCGTGGCAGACTGCAAGAACAGAGGAAGAAGCGTTTGGCTCTCCCGAAAAAATATACGAGATGCACAATGTCACTTTCTTGTAAAGATGTGGCGAAAGTCTCCTTAAATTACATTCAGTGATGAAATAGAAATTGCAAGAAAAAGATTGTCGCCCCAAGTGTTAGACCCCCCATCATTATATAACCCTACTTTTTATGCCTTTAAACAACTTATCAACTTTTTCAAGAATCGTAAGGAAACTAAGTGTTTTCTCTTAAAAACAATATCAATATATCACGTTCATGAATAGTTTATTTTCTATATACCAAATTCATCTAAAAAAAAATAACCTTCGATATTTCAATAGATATACATTTAATTACAAAATTGAAATAATAACAAGCGGTCCAGGGGCCACATGGATCACCTGAGCACATCGGCTAGGAAAAAGCACAAACTGGATCAGAATTGAAAAGATAACTAAGGGGTGGGAGATGGGGCTTGAATTTTAATACTACTTGAGAATGCCTCCATATCAATACAGCATATAACTTTGCTGTTCTTGAGAAAAAGATTTTTAAAAACATTTTTTTTTGTATATATTACTTCGTCATAATTTAAATTTGATTCCCCATAAATGTATCTCTCCCTAACCCAAAGGGTACTCATGATTTGAACAAATTTAAATCTTCAATACATGAGGATCCTTACATGTCAATATGACTAAACATAGCTTTTCTGTTCTTGGGATTTTTCCCTTTATTCTCCTTTTTAAAACTTTGATCCACCATTGAGACCCTCGAGGGTTATTATTTAAAAACAATTAATCCTACAATTCCTGAGGATGCTTCCATATAAATATCCGTGATCATGGCTTTGCAGTTTTTGAGGAAATTTTTAAAGATTTCCCTGTTTATTCCTATGTAAAACTTTGATCGGTGATTGTGGCCCTGCCCTACCCCCGGGGGTCATGTTTTGAACAAATTTGAATCTAAACTATCTGAGGATGATTCAACATGAGTTTCATATTTCCTGTCCCTATGGATCTTGAGAGGAAGATTTTTAAAGATTTTTCCTATACATTCCTATATAAAACTTTGATCGACCATCGTGGCCCCACCTTACCCGCGGGGGTCATGATTTGATCAAAATTGAATCTACAGTACCTAAAAATGATTTCACCTGAATTTCATCTTTCCTGTGTAAATGGTTCTTGAGAAGATTTTTTAAGATTTTTCCTGTACATGTATATTCCTACGTTAAATTTGATCGGCTATTTTGCCCCACCCTACTCCTGGGGGTCATGATTTGAACAAATTTAAATCTACACTACCTAAGGATAAATCCACATGAGTTTCATCTTTCCTGGCCCAGTGGTTCTTGAGAAATTTTTTTTTTTTAAATGTCATTATTTTTTTCACTAATTCATAATTATCTCCCCTTGGATGAGGGCATGGCCCTTCATTTGAACAAACTTAAATACCCTTTACCCAGGGATACTTTGTAGCAAGTTTGGTTGAAATTGGCCCAGTGGTTCTTGAAAAGAAGATGAAAATGTGAAAAGTTTACAACGACGACGACAGACAAACAGGGCAAATTTTGATCAGAAAAGCTCACTTGAGCCTTCGGCTCAGGTAAGCTAATAATTGACAAAATACTTGTTATGCCTTTAAAAATTGCTTCCTTTGTAATTTATACTGAACAAAAAATTAATCTTTCCAAAGCTTTACTGAACGGTCAAAAAAGAAACGAAGTTGGACCGCTCTTTTAGATGTTGGGCCTATCGATGAGATATATGGCCCGCTGATACTTTTTACGTCACGCTGAGGTTGATGTTGGCTATGTCTAATTTGCATTCGCTGGGGTTGGAGGGTTGGTTTCTGATTTGACAAAGGTAATTTTGCAGTGCATGCAGTTTCAATGAATTTTACATTAAGGAAAACAGCGCAAGACATGTCAAAAAGGTATAACAAGTCATACTGACTCCATTGAATCCAAATACTGTAAAATCACATACTTTCGTGGGGTCAAATTTTCAAGGTTTGAGAAAACAAGAGGCCCATGGGCCTTATAGGTCACCTGAGCATTATGCAACAACTTTCCAGTGATTGAATTTGATTCATGTTTTAAGCCAGATGCTATGGCATTCACAATTTTGAAAGAGGCATCATTGATCATCATAACTATACACTTAGCAGTTGCTTAGTTTGGTTACTTAATACCCATTGACAAGGCAGAGGAACAAAATATACATTTCAACTAATCAGTAATATACAGCAATAATCAGTAGTGCCCCTACTACACATGAACCCCTGACCCTTAGGCCTAGATCCACACATTGCACAATTTTTGAAAAGGCATCCTTGCTTTTCAAAAATATTTGATTATAATTTAATTAATACCTAGGAGCAGATTTCAAACAATTCATTCATTTTCAGTCTATAAGTATAGCCCCCCCCCCCCTCTCTATGGTACCCCTGACCCTGGGGCCTTGAAATTCACAATTCTGGAAGATAACGGTCCTTGTTCGTAACTATATAGGTAATTCAACTGCTTAAAACCCAGGAGCAGAGAAGAAAATTTTCACAGATTTTATGTATTTCACTATAATCAATAGAGCCCCCCTAACACCAGAACCCTGACCCTAGGGCCCTAAAATTCACAATTGTGGTAGAGGCACTCTTGCTCATTATAACTACGCATTTAGTTTGTTTATTTAATATCTAGGAGCAGAGAAGAAGACTTTCAGAGAATTCATGTATTTTCACTATATAATCAATAGAGCCCCCCCCCCCCCCAACACAAGACCCTCTGACCCTGGGGCTTTAAAATTCACAATTTTGGTAGAGGCACTCTTGCTCATTATAACTATGCACTTAGTTTATTTAATACCTAGGAGCAAAGAAGAAGATTTTCAAATAATTCATGTATTTTCACTATATAATCAATAGAGCCCCCCCCCCCTGGTCCTAAAATTCAAAATTTTGGTAAAGGAACTCTTACTCATCATAACCATGCACTTAGTTAATCTATTTAATAACCAGGAGCAGAGAAGAAGATTTTTAAAGAATTCATGTATTTTCACTATATAATCAATAGAGCCCCCCCCCCCCTTATACAAGAACCTATGACCCTGGGGCTTTAAAATTCACAATTTTAGTAGAGGCACTCTTGCTCATCATAACTATGTACTTAGTTAGTTTATTTAATACCTAGGAGCAGAGAAGAAGACTTTCAGAGAATTCATGTATTTTCACTATATAATCAATAGAGCCCCCCCCCCCCCTAACACAAGAACCCCTGACCCTGGGGCTTTAAAATTCACAATTTTAGTAAAGGCACTCTTGCTCATTATAACTTTGCACTTAGTTAGTTTATTAATACCTATGAGCAGAGCAGAAGACTTTCAAAGAATTCATGTATTTTCACTATATAATCAATAGAGCCCCCCCCCCCCAACACCAGAACCCCTGACCCTGGGGCCATAAAATTCACAATTTTGGTAGAGGCACTCTTGCTCATCATAACTATGTAAGTAGTTTGTTTATTTAATAACCAGGAGCAGAGAAGAAGATTTTCAAAGAAATAATGCATTTTCACTACATACTTATTTAGCCCCACCCTAGCACTAGAACCCCTGACCCCAGGGCCATGAATTTCACAATTTTGGTAGAGGACTCATTGCTGATTACAATCATGCAAACAGTTTGACTGCTTGATGTCCAGGAGTAAAGGAGAAGATTTTTAAAGATTGCATACATTTTAGTGGTTTTGGCCCCACCCCTCAGGCCCCAGGGGGGCAGGGATCATGAAATTCACAATTTTTGTTCCCCTTCAGCCATAGATGCTTTGTGCCAAATTTGGTTGAAATTGGTTCAGTGGTTGCAGAGAAGAAGCTGAAAATGTTCAAATGTTAACGCACGACGAACGACGGACGACGAACGACGACGGACGAAAACAGATAGCAATAGGTCACCTGAGTTTACTCAGGTGACCTAAAAATTATCGGTTTGTGGGGATTTGATTTTGTTATTGAAATTTTTTTTAGTAGAAATACATATGATATTTTTACCTTTCGTGGTAGTCATGAATTCGTGAATCTCTAAATACCCCAAAAGCAACAAAATTAACGAAAATAATTGATTTCACAGTATTTGAACTTTGCTGAACAACTCAACCAAATGGTTTGGTTCTACGGTTCAACTAAATGCATGTTGCCTCGAACCTATTCAGTAAAAGTAAAGTAGCGCACCTTGGCACCTTGGTACACAGATAATAACAATGTAATAGTAGTTATTCGACAATGGTAGTTGTAAATTTTGGACATTACAAGTTTATTGTTATCTAATGTTGATGTTTTCATGAGCAATGACATTCATGAGCAATGACAACAATGAATACATAAATAAACATTTTCTTTTGAAAACATTACTGTTATTATATCACCTTAATTATGAGTATTATTTTCCTATACATGCATTTAAAACTTTACAAATATAACATAATAATTTTGTCTGATTAATATATAATAATATTAGATATTTTTAAAATGAGGTAAAAAATGAGTATTTCTGGTTACATGAAATATTGCACGATTAATTTGATTTAGTTGCTAACTGGGAGATCTCAAGTCAGTATTGAGCATGTTCATTTTTTCATAAATGATGAAATCATATCTATGGGTAATGGAAATAGAATGGTGGAGTTTTTCTCTGCTGAGACCGTCTGGAGAGTTTGGAGGTACCGTAGTTGTAAGGCAGCAGGCGACTCTGTGATGACGTCAGCAGCTTCCTTCAGGGCACGTGACGCCTTCTGCTCTCCTTCGGCTGCAACAACCTACGGACCAAATCAAATGATTTTAGTATCTTTGTTTATTTCTTGTCAGTAACTGAATGAATATTAAAACCAAACTATAAACAAAGGCAAAAAAGATTTTCCCTTTTTTTTGGCAATTCATCTTGTAGCCTTACCTTAGCTCTGGCCTCTCTCATAGCTTCTGCCTCTGCCGCCATAGCTCTCTGTAGCTGGACGGGTAACCTCACGTCTTTCCTGTTATATCATGAAAAAACATGAGACAAATATTTTAAATTTCTGGTATTAAAACTTTTTTTTTTCAAAGTGGATATAACCACAACCGTTGCAATAAATTCTTAAGGAACAAATGATAGTCTACACTTTTTATCAATCAGATATATCAATATACATACACTTCGACTCTTTCCACCTTCATCCCCCAAGGATCCGTAGATTCATCCAAAATATGCTAAAAAGAGAAAATAGAAGTGTGTGTTGTCAATATGCAAAACAACGTCATTTTCCGCAGAAACTTCAGTCGGTTCAGCTATACTAGTATCTATTGTGTGTCTATAACTTTCTGATTGTCTCGTTTACCTGCATCTCGTGTGAAATACTTTCTCTCTCAGACAATAACTCTGTCATAGCCTTGGTTCCCAGGACGTTCCTCAGGGTGGTGGCTGCCAACAGCTGGGTGGATCTTTGAGCATCGTGGACGTTACAGACGGACATTTCAGGATCGAAAATCCGGAAATACACGACAGCATCCACGGCAACCGTCACCGAGTCCTTGGTCAGAATCTTTTTAAATTAAAGAAATAAAATACAACAACTATGTATATATTTTATGTCGATGGCAAAATTATATTTACAGAAAAACTGAAGAATGCATTTTAGAAAAAAGTTTACAAGCAACAAGACTGCAGTGTCTGTGGTGTTTGATCACTGCAAGTTGATCCAGAACGATTCAAGCTCAATCAGATCATGAAAAGAGGGAAAGTCCTTCATGTTGACAGTATTGATTCAGCAAATAAGCTTTTCATTTTTTATTTAAACATGAGAAGCACAAGGGGACATTTGGCAGAAACCCACATTTGTGAGTGGAAATCGTGAGCATTGTGAAATTAATAATTGTTCCACTATTTTTGTAATGCTATTCGTTCTCAATAGGTCAAAACCAATCAGCGATTATTGCATATTATAAGTGCATTAATAAAGTATAAGGATTGTACTTTGGTGTTAAATTTCTTTAGTACCCATTCAATTGGTAGTTTACATGAGTGCTTCAAGGAACGATCATTGTGGAAAACATCGATTCGGGAATGTTGTGCACCAATTTTTTCAACCTTACAAGCACAACGTTTAACTGTCAAGGATGCCAATAAAGGTCATATGACGAGTAGAACATGCCTTTTTTCTACTAAATTTATAGCTTTTGCAAGACTTTGAAATTTCTATAAATAATAAAAAACTATGTTTGCCGATATAAAACTAGCAAGAGGAGCTAATTCTTCATATTTGACCACTAGAGTGTTACAAAGATTTGGTATCTCCTTTCTGAATGAATGTATCTATAGATAAAATATCTTGGAAGATGCTTCTTTTATATTGCAAGATCTTTATTCAATGCAAACTTGTTACGAAAGGTCTTTTATACTTTGAAATATATAATGAAGCCTTGAATTGACCATTTTGTCGTAGAAACGGTTCCTTAATGGTTGGAATAAAGAATACCCTCACCTCTTGCGGTGGAACATCAAATGAAACTGTTCTCAAATCAACTTTCTGCATGGTATCAATAAATGGCCAAATAAAAAACAATCCTACAAAAAAAGGAGTGTGTTAATTGTTAATGTCATTTATCTTCATACTTATTATATTTTAAAAAGTCCTTTTGGGCAATCTCTTGTCATAAAAATATTTAAAGAGACCAGTTACTAAATTCTGGGTCAAATGGGGGAAATTTTACGGACACTTGCTACAAGAACTGGATACGTGGATTGGTATACACTTGTATAATGTATATACACTGTAGAATTATTTTTGGTTGTAAATGATACCATTATCAAATTCCTAAAATACAGTGTTTTAAAAATGTTTAAATTCTTCGCTTTTTGTCTTTTCTCAAATAAATTTATGCATTTTTCTCTATCGTTTGATATAATTGAGCGATTTTTTTAATGCATGACTAAACTTTATTTATTTACGTATAATTTATCTTCCTGATTTTTTATGGAAATTATAGTTTATAGCAAGCAAGTGACCGCACATAATTATGAATCTTTACAATATTTATAAGCATAACAGGACATACCCTGATAAGACTTTTATTGTTCACACAAATCATTACATAATGTAGATTTACTTCCGTGCTTTTTATAGGTTTACCTGGCCCTTTGGGTCCCCCCGGAACAACTCTCCCTAAACGAAACAGGATAGCCCTCTCATATTCCTGTACCACCTAAACAATAAAGAACAGGGAATAATGTCAGTTAAGTATCTCTCAAAATAATATACATTACTTTCCTGTTTTTTATGCCTGTATTGTTCAGAACAGAGGACTTCAGGACCTCCTGTCCAATTGAATTCTTTTTAAAAATTAAAACGCAATTGTATTTACGATGTTAAGTCTTTTAAATTTAACATTTGTTTGTCTGATTTTTGCTTTAAAAAATTGAATTAGATGTTTATCACAGCCAATCATTTTTTTTTAAGCTCTAAGTGGTTTATCGATAATAGATAATGATACTTGAAATGGCACGTACATAAATATATAATTTGAGAAAATGAAAAGGTTTTTATAGTTAAACTAAATAAAATAAATACTAATAGCATTTTCATTTGCTTCTTTTGAAAGAAGTTATTTTCCCCTTTGTTTCTGTATATCTTCAGATCAATAGAATTATTTTCTAAATCTTATTTGCGCAAAACATTCGCTACAAAACGCAAACGATTTTTAACAAATAAAAGAAATGGGTAATATATGGTTAGAATTAGTTGCTGACACTGACCCTAATGGCATAACAGAGGGAGAATGGGAAAGTGATGACCAGTATGAACGCTGACAGACCCCAGAGGATATAGCCACAGGTCCCTAGGTCTCCATCACGTTCGACCGAGTTACTGCTCCTCTTTATCTCCGAAATCTCTGAAAGAAAATACAAATACAGTGCGCTTTACTCTTAATAATCATTGCTAGTTTAGGGGTGGGGGTTCACACTCTTAATATAACTTTGCTTTTGATTCGCCAATGAGTTTCTCAGATAAAATTGTCTTATCTAAATACGACCCCATATGTGCTAATAGGGGATCACACTATCAAGTATTTACATAATCATCCACAATTCATGCTGTTTAAATATTATGAATATAATATGATTTTCATGATAATTAGTGATCAAAATTGTGATGGCTCCACTCTCCCAGACCACATACATTTTACGTATGCAATCTCCCTGAGTATCTCCATCTTCCTTTCTTATTTAAGTTTCCCTTTTGAAAGGAATGAAGCCCTTCACATTTACACTGACAATCTTTAAGCTTTTTAATCACCAGAAATATATTAAAGTGATAAGTATAGACGAGATCCCGTGGGTTTCCGACGATGAGTGTATGTATGTGGATTATTTTCGTTCAGCACATATTAAGAAAGCTTCAGTCTCGTGAGGTTTTGTTGAAATCAAGTACGAGATAGATTCATATCCAGATACACAGCCCTGTTAATGTACAACCGTGAACAATTTTTTTTTCGTTTAAACATATGCCTACATCGCATTATAAAAAATACAACGCATTTTTTCTTCTCCAATGATCATATGATAAGTGCACCCACATTTTAACATTGTCGATTGTTGACATTTGATGAACAATTCAAGATGGTGTTTATTTATACATTTCCTTAAACACTGTTAAGAGAAAATTTACTTCATCTTAAGAAAATAATATATGCTCCCATAGTTTTTGCTTTTAATTAAATATCATTTCAGTCTGAAGCCCCGACTTTCGGAGAGCAGATTAAATAGATCAAGGTTTACTACGTCACGGTCTCAACAAAGAAATTATTCCATGCAGAATTGCCCCACGCTCTCAAAGTATGCAAAGATCATTGGCATTTCAAAAACTTGTATATATATTAATCCTTCTAACAATACACTTACCTGACGCCATGTTTAAACCTTTTGCACCCGTATTTTGAAATCAACCACCCCTATATAGGTATGTAGGCTATCCTCACGAATATTTTGAAATTTCTGCATCTATTTATAGATTTATGACGTTTAGATTATGGCCCGCATTATCGGTCATCTCGAAATCCAACTGTGGTATTGTGATATACACCATGTGACGCTGACAATATATGTATCACTAAAACAGAATTTCCACATATTTTGTTTTCCTGCTATAAAGATAGCAAAAATCATATTGCATGTAGATACACGTATTATTAACAATTAAACAAGGACATTGTGTATTAGAGACACTGACAGACAGGTCCAAAATGAAAATAAGACACTGGGTGATCGATTATACTATAAACAAGTTGTTATCTGTACCAGTTATAAAAAATGAAAATCAACTGCAACATATTTAAATACGTTTAAATACCTTTATTATAAAGTACAATAACATTAAAACCATGAAAGTCTAAATGAAACATATTTTTAACTTTAAATAAAGTATAATAACATTAAAACTACAGTATGAAAGTCTAAATGATGCACATTTTTGAAATGTGAATATTTAAATATAATATCACTGAAGTACAAAAACATATTTTCAAACATACTACAGGATAGGTAATGAACCAACTGGTCAGTAAAAGTCATTTATAAAACCGATTGTGAATATTCAACAATCAAACATCTCGTTTCTACACCGATAGCATTTTTGAATTCCATGTTTATAAAGCCAGGTGAATGTTATAAAAGTTGACAGCACAAGGTACAAAATGTACATGTACAATATATCACAAGAGTAAATTAAGGTCACATTAAATACATGTACACAAAATATCGGATTTCCATACAAAATTTGATCTCAGATTTTTGTCTCCAAATTAATTTATTTCTTGCTGAAAGCTGACAACATGTTGATAGGCAGTGGGAAAATGATGGTCGAGTTCTTTTCAGCAGAAATGGAGTTGAGGGTCTGTAGATATCGGAGTTGGAGGGCGGCGGGGGATTCCGTGATGACATCAGCAGCTTCCTTCAGAGCCCGTGAAGCCTTCTGTTCTCCCTCAGCTGCAACCACCTATTGGAAAAATTACAATTTTTAATGAGTCGTTCTTTAGTAAATATACTTGAGATTTATTCAACTGTATATACAGTCAAACCTGTTTTAAGAGGCCACTCGTGGGAGAATGACAAATTGGCCACATAAGACAGGTGGCCACTTATAGGTTTCAAACCAATGAATAAAAATTGTGACCATGGCTGTGTGTTTATTTTCACACGTATCCAAATCCAATTTCAACATATTTATAAACTTAGGAAATTTGAAGTCAAATTAAATCCCTTTTACATTTCATTTTACATGAATTTCTGAAAGAAATCTGTTATTGTTTTTGTGTGTGTGTTGGTAATTTAATTTTACAGCCATAGAATTAACATCACAGGAAATCATAAAATGTTCTAACAACTTGGCATTTCCCTGATGCTGTGTAAAGTTTTTTTTTTTAGTTTTTTAAGATATATATTTATTAATATAACATAAAAGGTTAAAACGTGATACTGACCGCTTGACTATATAACCTCAGACGAAATTGTAATTATTTTTTTTATAATGTAGTCTATTGAGTTTATATCATAAAAATATTCAACAACTTACTTTGTATATTAAAAAACACCAATAAACATCTTTTAACAATAAATCATTTAATCATATTAATTAAATTATTAAATTCTGACAGAATTCAAATTACACCTGTAATTATTGGTCATTAACCCATTATCAGCTGTTCATGTTTGGCTTCGTATGAGGATACGAAGTCACGTGTCAGACGGAAGTCATGTGACAAAACAGACAAAATGGCCGCTTCCAGGCATGTTGAGCGAACGGGACCTAAAAACACTGGCCACTGGCCGCGTTAGACAGGTGGCCGCTTAAATGAGTTAAAATATAGTGAAAAAATGAATGGGCGGGATTGAAACTGGCCGCTCATGGGGAGTGGCCGCTGATTCAGGGTGGCCGTAACAGCAGGTGCGACTGTATCCTAAAACAGATTTATTTTTTGGATACCTTAGCCCTGGCCTCTCTAGCTGCTTCTGCCTCAGCAGCCATAGCTCTCTGTAACTGAATCGGGAGACGGACGTCCTTACTGTAAACAGAAAAATACACTTTTAATATATACTGTAAACATCACAAGAAATTGTCTATATCACAGAAATTTTCATTACTTCAACTACCTTCCTGGAGAATATAAGCTAAACTTACATTTCTACTCTTTCCACTTTCATTCCCCATGGGTCAGTAGAGGTATCCAAAATTTGCTGCAAAATTATCAATATTTTTACAAACATTGGTATAATACTGCTTGTGTTACCACAATGTAAAGACTACTTTAACCATTACATCATAACTTGAGAGTGGTGTATGTATACCTGCATCTCGTGTGAAATGCTCTCTCGCTCAGACAAGACCTCGGACATAGCCTTGGTACCCAGGACGTTTCTGAGGGTGGTAGATGCCAGTAACTGGGTGGACCTGAAGGCGTCGTTGACATTACAGACCGACATAATCGGGTCAAAGATACGGTAATAAACGACGGCATCCACAGCCACCGTCACAGAATCCCGCGTCAAAATCTGAAAAATATTATGACTTTATTGTTCCATCATTCAGAAGATGTTTGTTAGGTTTAGCCATTAGGCATTCAAGTTTGAACTTAAAGTTATCAGATAATATTTCAAATACCAAATGATATTCAAAAGTCAGTACTTCAAAATATCAGTATAAATCCATATTACATTATTCTAATATTTAACAGTTATGAAAACGATTTTCTTAGGAAATCAGCACTTCATATCACAATGAAAAAATTTGCAATTCTTTAAGCATTAACTTATTTCAGGAAAGAATTTTTCTGTGATAATTTGATCCAAAGTGGATGATTTTTTTTTAAAATTTGATTTTAGTTCTGTTTTCCACAACATTTCTTCCTGTTTTATTGTTTAATTATTTGGAAAATTGCATACAATAAAAACAAGGAAATGTTCCTTTCACGTACTTCTTGTGGTGGAACATCATAAGACAAAACTCGAAGATCCACTTTCTGCATTTCATCAACGCATGGCCACAAGAAAAACAGACCTAAAAGACAGTTATAGTGATCAACACATGGCCACAAGAAAAACAGACCTAAAAGGCAGTTATAATTATTATAAGCTTTATATCATCTTTATGAACAAAAAAAGAACATTCAGTTGCATAAAATGTGTACCTGTATGTTTATTTAAGCTAATGTCCTTGGAGAAAATCACCTGAAGCTGAATTCTTACATTTTTTATCGTACCTCATAAGTATTTTAGATATTCAATGACATGTCCTCTAGTCCCTCACCCTCAATGATTAATAGACCTATTGCAAGACTAACTGGAGTTTCTAACATCATGAACAACAATCTGATTAAAGTTCAAAGTTTACTAGGAGAGATGTAAACACTCTATAAATCCAATTTTAGATTGAATGACTGTGTGGACTTTTTCTAACATTTGTACATCATGCTTTGAATTCTCAATGTCTCTCTGACATAACTATTTCAAGAAAATTTCCATTTTACTAGGTCAAGCCTTTATAATTGCTATAGAAATTATCATTCTGTAATAAAGAATTTAAGTATAATGCAAAAGATTGCAGTTCTCAGCCTTCTTTTTTTCTAAAAATTTTATTTATTTGTAGAATCAGAGACAGATTGTATATCATGTACAAGCTTTTACACAAATAATATTTAAATTACTATATTAAAAAAGAAAACTATTTCATATGCCAATTATTCATCTCAAATATATGTCATACAATTACGGTGGCTTTTTCAGTCATTTACAGGGACGAGACTTTTAATCATATAATCAGCTGACACTAGATTTCGCAATCACAAATACCTTTTTTGCCAAACACCTATGTATGTTTACTTTTTGTTCCCCTCTTTAAATACACAGTAGCATGTACTTTCCAATGCATATTTACATAAAAAAGCAGACACTTTGGATCAATAAATAGACTAATTCTTACCAGGTCCTTTGGCACCTCCCACAACACGACCCAGGCGAAAAATTACAGCCCTTTCGTATTCTTGCACCACCTTTTTAAAAGATACAACAACAGTTAAAAACATAAAATAATAAAATGCATGTACCTTCACCCCCACCACACTCCTTGTTTATGTAAAATATCAGGTGCCAAATCATCATATACATTTAATTTTTGATTGAAATATATATGTACATGTATATATTATAATCCTATTGTTTAGAAATAGCTATGTAATATAAGTTAAGACATGTATAACAAGAGGCCCACGGGCCTTATAGGTCACCTGAGTATTGTGTAATAACTTTCAAACAATTAACTTTGGTTCGTGTTTTAAACCAGAGGCCATGAAATTCACAATTTTGAAAGAGGAACCATTGCTTATCATAATTATAAACTTAGCATGCTTACTCTATTTACATAATACCCAGAGGTAGATCAGAGTAACAAAGAGAAAATGCACTTCCACTTTCTAACCAGTTTTGCACCTCACCTGAAAGAAACCACTGACCCTGGGGCCACATATTTCAAAATTTTGCAAATTTTATCATAAAATGGTTGACTAATACCAAAGAGCAGATTTCAAAGCATTAATTTATTTTCAGATTATGTAACACCCCCCCCCCCCCCCGACCCTGGGGGCCCTAAAAAATAACAATTTTGCTAGATGCACCTTTCTTCTATAAATATATACACTTGGATCATAGGTTCAAAACCCAGGAGAAAAGAAACAAAGGAAAAGATTTTCAAAGAATTAATGTATTTTCATTATATAATCAATAGAGATCCCCCCTCACACCAGAACCCCTGACCATGGGGCCATAAAATTCACAATTTTGGAAGAGGCACTCTTGCTCATCAGAACTATGTACTTAGTTTGTATATTTAATACCCAGAAGCAGAGAAGAAGATTTTCAGAGAATACATGCATTTTCACTATATTATCAATAGAGCCCTGCCCTAACACCAGAACCCCCTGATCCTGGGGCCATAAAATTCAAAATTTTGGAAGAGGCACTCTTGCTCATCATAACTATGTACTTAATTAGTTTATTTAATACCCAGAAGCAGAGAAGAAGATTTTTAAAGAAATAATGCATTTTCACTATATAATCTATATAGCCCCGTCCTAGCACTAGAACCTCTAACCCTGGGGCCATGAATTTCACAATTTTGGTAGAGGACTCAGTGCTCATTACATTCATGCCAACAGTTTGCCTGCTTGATGTCCAGGAGTAAAGAAGAAGATTTTTAAAGATTGCAATAATTTTAGTGGTTTTGACCCCACCCCTCAGGCCCCAGGGGGGCGGGGACCATAAAATTCAAAATTTATGTTCCCATTCACATATAGATGATGTATATCAAATTTGGTTGAAATGGGTTCAGTGGTTTCAGAGAAGAAGCTGAAAATGTTCAAATGTTAACACACGAAGGACGACGATGGACGAAAACTGATAGCAATAGGTCACCTGAGTTACTCAGGTAACCTAAAAACTCTTTCCAATCATTGGTAATTTTAAGTCATGAGCTTTTCAGTCATGAGTACAAAAATAAACTGTGAAGATATTGTCATGACAACAACACTGAGAATATCAGTTTTCTTTTTTAATATATACATAAATGATAGACCTACCAGGGTGTGGCAGGCTTGGTAAATATTGGTATGTCATGTACTAGTTGGCTTATCGATATACTGTATAGGTACCTACCTTGATGGCTATACACAGAGAGAAAGGAAAGAACATGACGACCAGAACAAAGGAGAGGAACATCAGACAGTAGCCACAGCACCCAATGTCCCCATCACGCTCCACTTCTGTAAATAGTAGGCAACGTACACATAAATAACAAGTGTTGATTATTGATTACTGTTTGATCACTGGCATAATAAATCCATTTCATTCTCAAAACAATCATTACTTGTTCATAATTGTCAGATTCCAGACAGTCTGTTTTAGATAAAGAGCAAATTTAAAGACATGCTTTCTCTAGAGTTTGTAAGAGAATAAGTTCAGATACAAAGTATTCAGTATTTTTTTTTATTTTCAACTTGTTAAGAAGTCTTTCCCTGCAACTTACCACTATCAAACAAAATGAGTTTAATGAACTCTACAAATATGCATTGCAAAACAGATGGTGAGGAAATATTCCAAATTTATGATTTCTAATAATTTACAAACTTTACTACATCTTCCATTCACTTAAATTAGTTAGTTATACCCAAGATTGAATTTTGACTAGTCATACTATATTTAAAAGGTAAAAACTGCTATTGGTATTCAATTGCCTTGGGAATTCTTCCCCATAACCATCGGGATTGTACCATGATGACTATTATACTTCAATCAATATGCATTAATTAAAATATTGGTTTTTGTTGTTGTGCTGGACTTTACATCATCAGTTGTGTGTGTTGACAAATAAATCTCAAAATGCTTATAAACATAATAAACAAAAAAGAAAAACAAGATACCCATGGGACAAACCACTCACCTGAGTTATTCTAGCCATGCTGTTCTTCACCACTTACTACTTGTAAAACCTATTGGGACCCCATTTTACATCTGGGAGTAATGATTTGAACAATTTAAAATCAACACTACCCCAGGAAGCTTTCATAATTGTTTGGACTTTTCTGGCCAAGTGGTTCTTGAGACAAATATTTTTTCTGATCTGTTTCATTGTAAAAATTTGATTCCCTAAGGTGGCCCCACCCTACCCTAGTGGTCAATGATTTGCAACAATTTAGAATCTACACTACCTAAGGAGGCTTTCGTGCAAGTTTAAGCTTTTCTGACCTACTGGTTCTGGGACAAAGATTTTTTAATGACCCTGACCTATTTTTGTCTTTTATTGATTATCCCCCCCCTTGTAAGGGGACTTGGCCCTCAATATTAAACTCTAAATCCCAATCACCCAAGGATGCATTGTAGCAACTTTGATTAAAATTGGCCCAGTAGTTTTTGAGAAGTCATCAGTGTGAAAAGTTAAGAGATGAACAGACAAACAGATATATGGACGATGATCAGAAAAGATCACTTAGCTTTTGGTTCAGATGAGCTAGAAATGTTTTGAAATCTTGTACAGCAGCTCTGGAACATTCTGAATTCCAGAATTTTTACCTGTGTCTAGCACATAAAAAATGAGGGAATTCTGACCTACTTTCACAAGTTGTGTAAAACAGGTTTGACAACTATTTAATGCATAATACATTTCACTGATGGAAGATGTACATGTTAATAATTATCCCAGTATCCTGATTCCTCGCTATACAATTCTAATATCCTTGACATCCACTTACAATTGTAATCAAAAATATACATATTAATTGATAATAACTGGTGATCTAAGCAATCTCTAGCCAAACTTCTTAATAGAACACAAAATAATAATACAACAATTAAACTTAGTACTACTGTATACGAGTTTATGCCACTCAATGATTGTATGGGTTTTTAATTCAGAAGAACATGCATTTTGTCCATAGAGGTTCCACCCAACAACCCTTGGCAAACGTTCATTTAATCTTTATATAGACTAAAGATGCATCATTCTGACATTTACAAAATGAGGTGGTATGTGATTTTTCAAATATCAAACTTATTTTGTTTGGATGGAAACAAAAATAAAATCAATGATTGTGTCAATAAACAAAACACAAGTGAAACACTAAAACCACTAAATCTAATCTGTTTATAACTGCATCTGTCGTGACACACTTTTGACACCTCACCCCCCCTTAAATTACATCAAATGTCCAAGAATCCACTGTATTTCACTTTACAATTAAATCAAGAAATATTTAACTTCTATATTACACTGATTGAAAATATTTGAAATTGATGACAGTCTATTACAAAACAGGTTCACCGTTGTATTGAGGTTATAAATAAGATTAAGAGCCCAGGTAACCATGTTATTCCTGTATCAATCAAGAACCTGTTTCAATGTGTAAACGTTTTAATTAAATTTGCTCCTTTCATATCTGAAACAAAGTAATCAGTAAAATCTTACCTCCCTGTCCCATTATTATGCCCTTGTTTGCTGCGTTTAATATTTCCTATATACAAGTATTGATCTATCTTTGCAATACACAGAAGTATCCGGGTATTTTTATCACGTGACCATTCGGTTGCCGAAGCATGTGATATTATGGAAGCCTAATGGCGCAATTATTTGGCCCGTAAGTCTATGTTGCGAAATAAGTTTTTTTAAATCAATATTGCGCAAGAGTTGTAGTGTGACGATTTAAGTAATTAATTTATTAGTAATCAGATGATTCAAACAAAAATTGGATGCCCAACTTAGAATTTCTTTCGGCAGGGGATGCTCACTCCTCCATAGCAACTGATCCATCTCTGATGCTTTGGAGGTCTGTGTTGGCTCTGCTCCTATTTTGTATTGTTTAATGGACTTTTTATCTTGAATACTGTTCGCTATGTTTCATTCCTTTATATAATAAATATTTCTATTTTTAGCCTAGGAATGAATTTACTGCACGTAGGCCGTTATTATCAGTATAACTTAGGTAGCTATTAAAATTCATTCCTTATTATAATTTAATTAATATTTTCATACCTATTAAGACCAAATTCTTTACCCGTAAATGTCCATAAAGTATATACATTACTCTGATAATGAGTTAAAATTAATATATTTTATATTAGAAAAGGATTATCCGCGAGAAAGTTTCAAAATTTTCATTGACTAAGCAGTAGTTATTAATTAACAAAATTGCTTTAAAATCTATGGGGAAAAGCGCTTTTATCTTTTTATTTTAAAAACAATATGTGTTTGTGAATCACTGATGCCCCCGTATGGCAGCTTATGGCGAGGGCTAAATTCTCTTGAATGCATGTCAAACTCCAAATGTCAATGTCAAAAGTGTTGGTACCTTAAGGGATGTCTTGTTAAAAGGAATACCCCTGTGAAATATGAAAGCCCTAATTCTTCAGAAGTTAAGACCAAGGTTAAAGTGGGTTTTTTTTTGTGGTAAAAGTAGGTCAACTCCAAGTAAAAGTCAAGAGGTCAAATTTGGTTGTACCCAAAGAAAGATCTTGTCACAAGAAATACACATGTGAAATATGAAAGCCATAGCCCCACCCACTCAATAGTTATGGGCTAGGTTAAATTGACAACAGATAGACAAAGAGACTAACAGACAAACAGACAGACAGACAGGACAAAAACAATAAACCCCCGGGATCTTTCGATTCAGGGGCATAACAAGATCCATAGAGCCCCATTCTCGACTGGCATCCTCCGCAAACACGGGCTGTACAAATAGTACTATTCATAAAATAGGATGTATGTCATGAAAATCTGACAGTGGAAGTCTTGTACAACATGCATGGATAAAGGATCTTGTCTAAATCATCCCCATTCATGTCCGTAAAACTTCCGTGGATATTTGAGAATTTTCAATAGATGATCCGTGTCGTATGCTCTCTGCATGTATTTAGTGAGGGTCTGAGAAAACTTTGAAAGGATCAATGAACTTGAATAAATTATGGAAAAGTTTCTCGTCTCACAGTTCTGGATTTGATCCAAGACATATGCCATTGTTTCATAAAAACGGAAAATGAAATGATCTAGATAACATTTAAATTTGAAATAATACAATGAATAGATTAAAAATATCTCATTTGGGAAATCTATAACCCTGTAAATGTATTACAAGGACAATTTATATGATCTTGTCTTAATTTGGTTATTTCAAAATGCACCAAAATGCAAAATGCAATTGTGTAATCCAGTATAGTGATTATCGTATAAGTAATAGAAGCTTGTTTTTGTTTTTTTTTTTTAAATATATACGTTGTTAAAAATACTCGGACTGTGGAGACTGCTATGCCAACAGCGTCTCGACTGTCTCGTTGTCAAATGACAATTTCCTAACTAAAGTCATTAAAAGTATTTATATATATCCCAAAAATCCATAAACGGAAACTGTAGATTAATTATATATATTTTTTCAATGCATTGAACATCGCTTTGACCAATCAGCTACATATCACCAGAAATGAAATTATAAATTTTGCTTTTCGACTTATTAAATTTTATAATGATGTTAAATTGAAATTCGATCGAATGATTATACATGTATGTTATTATTCTTGGGCTATCATATGAACAGTAATTTAAAATGCATTTTAAAAAGTATAATAGAAATCAATAAATATTTGCGTAAGCTACTTTAGCAATTTCTTTTTAGTGGTCTTTCAGACAAACATTTCGTAAAGCAAAGATTTTGCAATTTGTCTATGCTCAATGTTGCGATGTGAAACGACCCACAATATCCTTATCTGGGCTTTTATTGCGTAAAGAACACGGCATTATTTAGGTCATAGTTAAATATTAAGGATGTATTGACTATTGAAACGCAGTACCTAGTATATTTCAGTATGCATCAGTTTAAAAGTTTGTCGCAGTTCAGAATTATTAAATCATCTAAAGTGTTGGTATATATTATACAATATAGTATACTAGTTTATGTCGTCTTTTTGGTAGGGTTAGATTCCAATTTCTTTCAGTGTCAACATTTTCAATACACTACTATATTGTCCTAAAAAGTGAACACGTGTGTATGTAAGTGGGGTGGGGGCTAAAAAAAAGCGGGGGGTGACTTATCATGACCTTTCTATTCTCAAAAAGAGTTGATATATTTGAATGCAAAACTTTTGATTGCCCATTGTATGTGGTCTCAATCTAATCGCTAGCGAGTATCCGAGCGGATCTAACATCTAATTTTAATTAGATTGATGTGGTCCCACCCTACCCTAAGGGCTATGGTTTGAACTAACTTGAAAATACACATCTGATGTTGCTTTCGTATAAATCTGACCATGACTTGCTGTTCCAGAGAGAAAAAAGAAAGTATTTTGTTATGTATTCCTACAAAATTAAATATACAATGATTAATTAAAAAAAAAGAAACTGCTATGTATTCTTAATGGAAACTCTTATTGCCTATTGTGACTTCACCTGGGATAATGATTTGAACAAAATGTTGGTAAGATTTCACATATTAGATTTACATTGAAAGGTCCCCCCCCCCACTTCTAACCACAGTATAGTGATATAAAGGAAATGTAGTATTGTATGCCAAAAAAATTGAAAATGAAAGGAAGTTGGCCTTGAAAAAAGTTGGCCACTACCAAGTTGGCCACTATGCTCCCTGATCGATAGATCCGGGGCATACATTGTTTTTTATCCTGTCTATTTGTCTGCTTGTTGTCAACTTTAACCTTCGCCATAACTATTGAACTATGAGAGATAGACACTTCATATTTGCAGAGACATATAATAGAGGGATCTATTATATGTCTCTGATATTTGTTATGCATATCCACTAATTAAGCTCTTTCAAATGACACCAAGGTCAATGACTGTGTGACCTTGACTGTGATCTATATGCTAAATATAGCTAGTCAGTTTAGTTATCTCCAATGGTTGGCTCCGTATTATTTATAAGCTTTCCTCACCACTCTTGCAGTGTAAAAAAGAATTCACTGTACACCTTTACAGTTAAGCTGACAACTTTGGTTTTCATATCGTGATTTACATCAATATGTTTTGGTGAGTGTTGTCATGTGAGTGTTTACTTATCTGGATGTTTAACTTACTCAAGTACTTGAATTTTTCATTGAATTTCATGATTATAGCCTTTCGAAATACAATGTTCGATGTATATAGAGATTTCAAGAAATCAAAAATTGCCATCTTGAAGAGGTCATTTGCAATGGTTATAGGGGATTAATGACCTTAAACAGCAACATTAAGGGTTAAAACCATTTCTATGATGTTCCTTTCAGTCATTACTCTTTACTCATGGTTGCTCCATGCTGCATTACCCCACACAGGGTCACAAGGTGTAAAAAAAGTTTATTTTTCCCCTTTAAATACATGTTCTACAAAAAATTCAGGCAAGCACTGTAGCCCTTACGCCTTAGCCTTTCGTTACAGAGGAAAGACAAGGATTTGCTGAAATTTTTATTAGTAATTTATTTACACTTTACATACATTTGATATTATTTACAATATCTTTACAGAAAGTAACACATACATGTACAAATAACTTATTTGCAGCCTTCTTCTATAAATTACCAAAATACAAATATATTAAAGATTAAACAGAGGAAAATATAAAATAAAAAATAATTAAAAAAAACAATGGATTTCTATAAAAAAGAACTGAATCCTCTCTATAGGAAAAATGTGTAGGTGCTGATGCGTAAACATTAAAAAAATTAATTGTCAGAGAGTGCAAAGCAGTTGTTTTAAAATTAAACAGCAACAAAACAAATATCAGGAAAAGTAATATTTTGATTTATAAGTAATGCCAGTTAAATCCAACATATTTTAATGCATCTTCTTCTTTTTTTAAAATAAAAGAATCCTTTAATATCAAGTCTAAAATGTTCTATAGTAATCAAAGTTTACATATTTCATCTTTTTAGGCTTAAAGCACTCCACCTGGATTCACACTTACACAAGACTGTTCTCAATAGAATGTCAAGTCATATAGTTGACAATGGTAATATGTGACAATATGTAGATTTTTCATTAATATCGAACATTTTGGAAAATAGAATCTTATGCATAAGAAATGCATGTAATCATTTTCAATTAAGTGTAAACTTTGGCGATGTGAAAATGTTGACGAAATTGACGAATTTTTCAAAATTAAATTGATAAAGTTTCTACTCATTGAATTTCACATTCTTCAATGTTAAACACCTATAGAACATTCCAAGTTTCCACTCGCTATTTGAATACACTGAGTGTAAGTGGAATTTTTAGCTTTATGCAAATTTAGTAATTTGTTGTTAAAAAATCATGTATTCAATTTTAGTGAGAAGTAATTTTAGTGAATTAAAAAGATAATCATACCCTCTGATGTGGAATAAATTGTTAGTGATATCTGAGTGATCACAATACCCTTGCTAAAAATACTAAAATTGGATCTTCACTAAAATTTCTGCTTATACCCTAGAGGACCATGTACTGAAATCATTGACCTTTCAACCCTTCAATCTTTTACAGTATGTTGAGTACTCTAGTTCAATACCATTTTTTTTGTTAAAAAGTGTCAGAAGTCTGCAATAATATCAAAGTAATAAAGCTGACAATTTGTGATAACCAATCCATTACAACATTGATATTAGTACAAGTATTTATAGACAAACTGTCATGATTGACTACACTGCAGTTAAATCCAAACTGTGAAAGTGAAAATGGGAGTCATACCACACCTACACTGTTCAACCATTCTGAAACATTCAATATTCCCAGGCAAGGAGAAACATTAGATGACCAATCCAGAATTTAATAGTCTTAAAATTTCATAATTATTTAATTTACAAAGATAATTCTTTTCAAATTACAAAGCATCAGAATGACAATGATTCTGGCGTATACAGAGGCAGATGTGAGTAGTGTCAGGGTATACTATGAACACTGCAGATAGTACAATACAATGTACCTTCTCAGTTTTGTTTTTTTCGTAAATATCAATTGCTTCACTTGGACCAGTACCTCCCTTACATTTGATCCCAACTCCCGATCAGAATTTAGTTACATCTTGTTTCTGAGTACCAAAGGATGATAAGAGCTGTAACAAGAAGGAAGAAATAAATCCAGGAGAAATAGAGAAAAGACTAGAAAGATTGCTATCATCTGACTAAAATATTCTCAAAGATTTTTTGTTCAAGCAGAATCAGATCAACAATAAAATAAATTGTAGAATATAATACATAAAATACAAATTGTCATTGATCTGTAATAGGATTCTTGATTGTTTAAAACAGGGGACTTCAAATTTGTTTTGAAATATGCATAAAAATCAAACAAGTGGTTTTGTTTTAAAGCAATAATACTGCACAAAATCAATAAAGCAACAAATGTTGATGACTATAGATATGCACCCTCTGTAAACCATAATATGACACCCTGAAGTGGACCAGATCAAGTTTACAGCTTAATTGCTCTATAAGAGCTAATCTTTTATACAAATAAAATTAATAAATAGAGTATAAAATTTAAAAAAAAATTGCTTTTGAAAAGGATTCCCTTTCAACATAGACCTGATAGTCAAAACAAACACTGAAACACTCAAAACTGTAGATTATTTCTTCATAAAAGTAGTCATTACATCTATTGGGAGAGGGAAGATAATGGTGGAGTTCTTCTCTGCTGCGATGGTGTTGAGGGTCTGTAGATACCGGAGCTGGAGGGCAGCGGGGGATTCCGTGATGACATCAGCAGCTTCCTTCAGAGCCCGCGAGGCCTTCTGTTCTCCCTCAGCTGCGACAATCTGATACATAAAAAAATTGATATGTTAAAGTATAGTGATTTTCAAATAAAGGTGGTTTTCTTACACAAGGAAACACCTTTCTGTATAAAACATGTCTCTGAATTATGTTATTCGAGTAATATCTGCTATTCAAGGTGTCAAATTCTTTGTCCTTATATACATGTTCTATATACGTTTTATTTGACTATTCTATATTGTATAAAGCCTTTACACATTGAGTGGTTTTCTGAATACCTACCTTAGCCCTGGCCTCTCTTCCAGCTTCTGCCTCAGCAGCCATAGCTCTCTGTAACTGGATGGGAAGTCTCACATCCTTACTGTAAAAGGAAGAAAAGTTTCAGTCAATTACTCTTTTGTCTTTGCAACATTTAATTCTATCAATATATATGCCACATAGTGAAATCTGTTTTGTTGTGGATTGAGCTTTGGGCTTTTCTTTTAATGTCTGTTTTCTCTTGAAGAATGAAGGCTGCCCTGACAAACACTCTTATAAATGACAGTACAATCAGGAACTGACTTAACTCTTCATATAAAGATAATTATCATCAAAATCCATTAAGATTTGACTGATCAATCTATGAATGCTACTCACATTTCCACTCTCTCTACTTTGACACCCCAGGGATCAGTTGCTTCATCCAGTTGATGCTGAAAAAAATTGAGCACTGATTCATTCATTTAGGTTTATGGATAGAAAAAAGCACTTGTACTTTTAAACCAAGAAACTTGTAGTCAGTGTGTATGACAGATGCACAGGTGACCATTGTTAATGTCGACATCATATTTGCACAAAAATGAATCCAACCATATGACAGACCTAAACAGTGTGCTAAAATTTTAAAAATTTTCGGCATCTGTGATGAGTACTCAGTAGAAAACTGGCCAAAATTAGTTACAGACAGACAACTACACAGATGGACAGACACACAAGGGTCAACAGTACAACCCCGCTCTCCTTTGGAGTGGGGATACAATGACAAAACAAACGGTTGATGGAAATTTAATATAAAATTTAACAAGTCATTGTTAGGTGGACTAGTCTTGTGCTGTTTTTAGCTGAATAGCACTCCCTGTGTAACAGAAAAATTCTCAGGTCATTTAACTAAAATACTTTTAATACACTGATCTTTGTTAAACCATTTACTATATACACTGATGCAATTACCAAATAATAGTTTTCTGATCTTTTATGAAAAACTTTACTGTCAGTAATTTTTTTTATCAAGCTAAATCTATTTAATCGTGTAAAAATTTACAAATATTTAGATTGGTTTCAATATCCTTCTGGCTTCAGCCTCTAACCACATTAACATATAGTGTATTAACATAACAGGACAGACCTGTTTCCCCGAGGCCTAGTTATTGATTTGTGTGTATTTCACAATGACTAGTATGTCAGTCCCCTCAAAGTGATTTCAGTTATAAATCTATAACAGTGACAAGTCTTCAATATTTACAGAATGGACAAAAAGCAAATATGCTGAATAGAAATAGATTTAGTAAATGTATTTTTTCTCCATTTCAACTGTAAATACGAATCCAAGTGTGGCCTAACACCCAATTCCAGTTCTGGAACAACAGGCTTATTTATAGAACAGTATAATATCTCTGTATTGATTGGTATTGGAAGAGCGTACATTGTTGATATTAAGAGACAAATATCAAATAATTTCATTTTCTATTGATTTATCCTCATTAGTCACTTATCAGGAAATGTAGTTGGGTTACCATGGGAATATGGTATATACGTATATATAAGTTTACTGACCACTTTAATTGACCATTAGGATGCAGTAACTTTAATAATTAATATCAACACTTTTCTCATTATTTAATGCAATGATGATGAACTTTAAAAAAAAAAAAAAAAAAAAAAAAAAAAGCAAAGCGAACATCTAGATTGTAATAATGATAACAGGACTTGAATTTTCCGGATATACACAAAGGGACGCCTACTTTGATTTTAAGGATATGCAACCCAGTTCCTTGTTTAGTCCCTTTTACAAAAATTTCAGCTTAATTTGACAAATAGAATTTTGTATAAAAAAAAGAAATATTTTTTTTTTAAATGTTTCTTTCAATCATTATTATGCATATTTCCAAATCAGTAATCATTATTTTCCTGTTGCAGTAATTTAATATCTTTCACTGAATATGTTTCATTTTTTTGCTCAACAATGTCATTTCTTTGAAATATATATATATAGCTTACTTAGAAATGAAAATGTTCAACCATCTTTCTTTTTTAAGGATAATTTCCCTTTAAAAATTTCACTTAATTTGATCCCTCAATATTATAAGCATGAAGAATCAAATCATTATTTTCCTGTTGCAGTGTTAATATCTTTTACTGAATATGTTTCTTTTTTTCATGTAAAATATATATATAGCATTTGAAATGTGTGTTCAGCCATCTTTCTTTTTTTTATGATAAAACAGTTTATTTACGTAGTTGATCAAATCTCCATTAAATCACATACATGTACCCCCACCTTTTTTTCAAAAATTAGTGAAGTGTGTTATGATGATAAATTAATAGCATAAAATCAATACATGTACTACAAGAGCAGAATATCTATAAAACTAAAAGCGGGATCAGATGCCATGTAGGAGTAAGCATCCCCTATCCATCAGTCATTACTGCTGAGTGTCTTTGTCATGATTACTTTAACAGAGAAAATCTGTAAATTGCTACGGCCTTACAATTTGGTGAAAATAAATATCCTGTTCATTGTTTTTAATATATCAATATATCGATATCTCTATATCATCAGTTCACCACTAGCATTCATTTTGTCAACTGAACCACATGTACAGTGAAGGTCAATACAGCACGAATTTGTATATCCTGATTCACATGTTTCACCAACATGAAATTATTACATGCCATAAATGGTGGGGATTTTCTGTACTTTTGAATTAAAGCATCATTTTCTCATTTAGTTACAAAGTAAAATGAGATTACCTGCATCATGGCTGAAATGGCATCTCTATCTGTCAAAAGTTCTGACATATTTCTGGTTCCAAGGACATTTCTAAGAGTGGTGGCTGCCAGCAGACGTGTAGACTGATAGGCATCAGACACATTTACTGTGGCCATGGTAGCATCAAAGATTCTTATGTAAATCACAGCATCTACAGCCACTGTGACAGAGTCTTTAGTGAGGATCTGAAAAATAAAGTAAATGCAAAATTTATATCTACATATTTACTTGGACAGAAAAAGTATAGTATTCCATGTTTTATTAGCAGGGTTCATTGCAAGTCTCAATTTATTTAACCAAATCAACCAGATACAGGTAAATATCGGTATCTCAAACATGGGATATCTCGAATACCCCACTTATGTCGAAGTCGATCGTCGGTCCCGGCCGTTTTCTCTCAATATATGATTTAAAAAGCACCTGATATCTCGAACATGGTAATCTTGAATACCCCGCTTATGTCGAAGTATATTCAAAGTCCCAAGCCCTTTTTTACCTGGCTTATCTCGAAGTGCAGTGAATTTTTCGGTCTACTGAACACATCTGGCGTCGTGACTTCACACACTCTCGCCAGTGGCTATTAATGAACACCTTCAAACTTGGGGAATCTTAATTAATCCCAAGCTCATGTTGATGTCGGGTATCTGTGACAGGTTAATTGGTTTGACAGCTTGGGTGTTTGGTGTAGTCTACGACCGATAAAACAAACCACTTCACAGCAACTCAGAAATTAAATTACAGATATTGCATTTAATAATATGCTCTGTATAATTAAATTCCTAAATTCATAAAACAAAAATATATTTCACAATAAACTTAAACAGTTAAGTTGCAGTGCATAATGCACAGTGATTGATTACATTCATGTTTATCTGCGTATAAATAGATAACCTTGACCGCCATTTGCATTGTTAGTTTCGTAAACTATGTGTTCCTTAGTTACTGTAGTACTTCGTAATGTTATACATGTAAGCTATTAATATCAAGTACACAGTTTGAATACTGATTATTTTTTTAAAAACATTTTGCACTAAATTTCATCAAATTATGTTTTTAAAAAATTCGTCTTTTTCTTTTCTTACGGAGAAGGTTCTTCAACTATAACGCTAATGATACATCCCATTTGACCACGTAAGCATGGCCTGGAAAATGTAAATTCGCTGAATATGCAATAAGGCATGCATATTAAATTGTTTTACAATTATACACGATAAAGAAAACAACAGCATTGTTTTTCTTAATATTTATTGCGAATATGCCTGAGACTTTACCATAAAGACTGCATGTTTTGTAATACAGGATAGTGTTACGCATGAAGATATACGAAAAAATGGGACATCGTTGATTCGACTTTGGAAGATAACTTCGGATATCTCGAACCCCCCGATATCTCGAAGTCGTGTCTAGGTCCCCTCAACTTCGAGATACTGATATTTCACTGTATATACTACTGGTAAACAGTCACCAAAGGAAAACAAAATACCTGTTCTCTTTCTCAACCACTTTTGAGACAATTCTGATATAAAATTGCACAGAAAAAAGGAATATGAGGATTCTCCTAAACAAATTAACAATAATGTTAAAGGCAATCATTTGAAAATCATTACAGGTATGAAAAATATTGCAATAGGATGCCCAAGTTTTTCACCATGGTGGCATTTCATTCTATAAATAGAGGACACGTCAACAAGCTAACATAATGCTCACAATTGGTTCTGCTGACATCAATGCTTCCAAAAGTGTCCAGTTCAGTTGGACTTTGATTAATTCAAACCATGGTACATGTATGTGGTCCCTCGGTTATAATTTTTTTTTTTAATTAGATTTCTGAGTACCGGTACTTACTTCTTGAGGAGGGACATCATAGGTAAGAGTCCTCATGTCCACCTTCTTAAAGTCATCGATACAGGGTAAGATGAAGAATAAACCTGTTAATGAATATATTAATGTCATTTATCAACCAAAAAATACCAAACTGACAATCTATTCATAACATATAATTATATGTCACCTCTAAACAGTAACTTGTTCATTTTCTTAAAGGTTACTTATTCTTATTAAATGCTTTAATTACAACTAGGTTCAAAAACAAAAGAAGAGTGAAACCAAATTATCAATATAAAAAATTCACTACAAAGAAAACTTCCCAGATTCATACACTATACTTTATTAAAAATGTAAATGGAATGGTTGAATCAATAAATAACATTAGTAGATACAAGCTATACTAACCTGGGCCTTTGGCTCCACCAGGCAAAACTCGCCCAAGCCTGAAGATGACCGCTCTCTCATATTCCTGCACAACCTATAAAGAAGAACTAAAACTGTCAGCATTGATTTTTTGGAAACTTATGTTTTGCCAGTGTTTGAAACTCACTAGTGAAAGCTGTCAGCTATGCCAAAGATTTACTATCACAAATGGCTTCTATAATTTGTTTTAGTAAGCATGTGATTGGGAACAATCTTACAATGCATTACAAACTTGATCAAAAGTCTACTGACTAAAAAAATTGGCCCCTTGGCTAGTAACTCTGTGCTACAGGTATTGATCATGTTGATTTAAGAGAAATTTATCAAAAATGATTTTTTTTAATGATTGGAAATTATAACATCTTCAACCAGGCACCCATACATGCAAGTATGTTGGTTCACTACAAAATTTGTGCATCTCAAGAGGTTAGGCACAAACACAGTTATTTCAAACACTGGTTTCATATGGTACACTCATGACTGTAATATATTTTTAAAAAGTCACTTAATTAATAAATTCTACCAAAGTTTATAGAAAATTTAATTTCCTTGCCTTAATTGTCACACACAGAGAAAATGGGAAGAAGAGTGCTACTAATATGTAGGAAAATCCCATTAAAACATAACCACAGCAACCAATGTCCCCATCCTGCTCATACTGCTGCTGCTGACCTATAAAGAAAGGTGTAATGGTAATGATTCAATTAATCAGTATTATTATGTAAATTAAGCCAATTAACATAACTGGATTTGACATCAGGCATGGCCTATACAAGAACTGAATGGTAATAATCACCATCTTTATAAACTACATCTTTATACAACAGCTCTTCTACAAACCGTTACACTCAGATCCTTCATATGCAATTATTTTTTAAAATGGTCATAAACTGAGTGTAACCCCCCCCCCCCCCCCCCCAACCATTTTCTTACGGTTTCAGCATCACCATAAATAAACAAGTCCTAATAGGACTCTTTTATAATTTCTCTACATTCCTTGATTACTTTTTTAATATTTTAATATTGTTTCATATCTTTAAAATAAATTATAATAATCTCTATATAAGATAGGGAAAATAAGCAAAATTAATATGGTTCAGACTTGTAAAAGTTGGAAGGTTTTTAGTGGCAATTATTAAGAGCCATTCTCTGTAACCACTTAAACTTCGTTGCCACGCATGGTCACCGAATTTGATGAAACTTCACCCATGCTTAGTACTTGACACCAGAAACAAATATCAAACAAAATTTCGTTGCTATGTGTCTCGGTTGCTATGGCAACAGCCGGAAAAGTTTGAAAAATTGAGATTTTCAGCCACTTTAAAGCTTGACTGTAGCTTAATAAAAACTAGAAAGAGCAAACAAACCATTCTCACAAAAACATGACACCTTGATGTCACTTATACTGTATTAAAAGAAACTGTTTAGAATATATCTCTAAGTAAGTGGTAACCAAGGGTACATTTGGAATACATTTGAAATGCTGAAATATGTTGAAAAACACTCCGTATTCACTAATGGTAGGTATTACATGCTCAAACTCAATCAACAACTTACGAAAAACAATGAAAATGGTTGACCTTCAGTATATAAGTATAAGCAATATTATTCTATAAATAACTTTTATGGTTGCCATGGTAACACAGTGTAACCATGCAAAACCAGTAACTAAGATTGGATTAATGCTACTGTCTTGAGAAAAAACATGAAAATTCAAGACTGGCAAATATGCATCCTTAGGACCTTGCAACACCAAAACCATCAGAACCAGAAGTCTCTGTCGAGACTGAAGCTCTACTGGTTTGAACTTATAGCAAAGGAAAAGAAAAGTACTTAAGCAGCTGGGATTTGAAACTTTATGACAGCAATAAATAGAATAATGATCGCTGATAAAGTCTCTTTATGTTCTTAGTGTATTCTACTTGTGTGCCAAGTTATACTGAAATCAGACCAAAACTGCAGGAGGAGTAGCATTTTGAAACAATTTTACAGACATTTCTATTTTTAGTAACCACGGCAACACCGTTCATTAAAATTAAAATTTGATATAAAGAATTATGTATCTTAGTGTAGTCTACTTGTGTGCCAAGTTATATTGAAATCAGACCAAAACTGTAGGAGGAGTAGCATTTTTAAAGAATTTTACAGAAATTTCTAGTTTTAGTAACCACGGCAACACCATTCATCGAAATCAAAAACCGATACACAGAATTATGTATCTTAGTGTAGTCTACTTGTGTGCCAAGTTATACTGAAATCAGACCAAAACTGTAGGAGGAGTAGCATTTTGAAAGAATTTCACAGAAATTTCTATTTTTAGTAACCACGGCAACACCGTTCATCAAAATCAAAAACCGATATACAGAATTATGTATTTTAGTATTCTACTTGTGTGCCAAGTTATACTGAAATCAGACCAAAACTGTAGGAGGAGTAGCATTTTGAAAGAATTTCACAGAAATTTCTATTCTATTTTTAGTTACCACGGCAACACCGTTCATCGAAATCAAAAACCGATATACAGAATTATGTATCTTAGTGTATTCTACTTGTGTGCCAAGTTATACTGAAATCAGACCAAAACTGTAGGAAGAGTAGCATTTTGAAAGAATTTCACAGAAATTTCTATTTTTAGTAACCACGGCAACACCGTTCATCGAAATCAAAAACCGATACACAGAATTATGTATTTTAGTGTATTCTACTTGTGTGCCAAGTTATACTGAAATCAGACCAAAACTGTAGGAGGAGTAGCATTTTGAAAGAATTTCACAGAAATTTCTATTCTATTTTTAGTAACCACGGCAACACCGTTCATCGAAATCAAAAACCGATATACAGAATTATGTATTTTAGTGTATTCTACTTGTGTGCCAAGTTATACTGAAATCAGACCAAAACTGTAGGAGGAGTAGCATTTTGAAAGCATTTCACAGAAATTTCTATTTTTAGTAACCATGGCAACACCGTTCATCGAAATCAAAAACCGATACACAGAATTATGTATCTTAGTATGGTCTACTTGTGTGCCAAGTTATACTGAATTAGACCAAAACTGTAGGAGGAGTAGCATTTTGAAAGAATTTCACAGAAATTTCTATTTTTTAGTAACCACGGCAACACCGTTCATCGAAATCAAAAACCGATATACAGAATTATGTATCTTAATGTATTCTACTTGTGCGCCAAGTTATAAATCAGACCAAAACTGTAGGAGGAGTAGCATTTTGAAAGAATTTCACAGAAATTTCTATTTTTAGTAACCACGGCAACACCGTTTATCGAAATCAAAAACCGATGCACAGAATTATGTATCTTAGTGTAGTCTACTTGTGTGCCAAGTTATATTGAAATCCGATCAAAAGTGTAGGAGGAGTAGCATTTTGAAAGCATTTCAAAGAAATTTCTATTTTTAGTAACCACGGCAACACCGTTCATCGAAATCAAAAACCGATACACAGAATTATGTATCTTAGTGTAGTCTACTTGTGTGCCAAGTTATACTGAAATCAGACCAAAACTGTAGGAGGAGTAGCATTTTGAAAGCATTTCACAGAAATTTCTATTTTTAGTAACCATGGCAACAACATTCATCAAAATCAGAAACCGATGCATAGAATTATGTATCTTAGTATAGTCTACTTGTGTGCCAAGTTATATTGAAATTAGACCAAAACTGTAGGAGGAGTAGCATTTTGAAAAATTGTTTACAGACAGACGGACAGACGGACGGACGCCGGACGCATTACTATCGCATAAGCTCTTCTGGTCTCTGACCAGTAGAGCTAAAAATTGGGTATAATTGCTACTTTGCAGTGTAACCAGGGAAACAAAGTACCAGTGCTTAAAAGTGAATTATTTTTCGCTGCATTAAGAATTAAATTGCCATCTAATCAAGAAACAAATTAAAGGACTCAGCTTGAATAGTACTTATCTGTTAGAACTGAAGTTGAATATCATATATTGATAAAATTTGATGAACAAAACAAAACTGTTGCTATGGTTACCAAGAAGGGAAGATGTTCGATTTTGTGAACTTTATATCAATATTAAACCCTGTGTGCCAACTTCTTGCATCCACTTAGAGATTGGATGATAGTCAAAATTTAAAGTCAAGTTAGCTGTTAATAAATATCAATCATAAAAGTTTTGGGAATCTACATTTAAGGGTACGTATCCAAGGAATGAAAATATTTTTCAGGTTTTTCAGCATATATTTTCTGCTTATTTCCATAGCAACGCTCTATTTAAAGAATCTAATCTGAATTTTTTCAAATGGGAAAACTTGGAGCACACGAACATCTTATAAAATTGATCATTAGTTATGAGGAAATGTGCTTTTTTTAAAAGATAGACTCAGATTAAAACATACATAGTGTTACTTTGAAAGCTCTCTGTGGTTAAAAACCTTGGCAACCATTGCCAACCAAAATGAAATATCATATTTTGTTCTTGGTATATGTTTCAAGGCTCTTTTTTCTATTATTTGGTCACATTTCATCCTATAATTGCTTTTTATTTTTACGTGTATGACTTTATAAAGTTCAATGAATATTTTCTTTTTACTTTTGAATAATTTGTTACCATAGTAACGTATATAATAGTTGATTTACCAAACATGTTTATCATGCACTTGAGACATCTGACCTTCAACTTTTGGAAAGTCATTGCCAATTGTTCGCTTTGCCGCAATTGTTAACTATGGGGCTCTAAACATGTTAAATAATGCCATTTTTCGAACTTTAAGACATGTTGCCACGGTAACTATAAAACATAGCAACCAATTTTTGCCCTATTTCAGTTTAGGGTATCAATGACTTTTATCATAGAGAGTTTGGAGAAATTCTGAGACTATGCGTGCCAGAGCTCCTATATAAAATTTCAAATCATTACAGAGAATGGCTCTTAAAAATATACATGCCAACTTGACCCCCCCCCCTCTTCTTCCAATATCTCTCAAATACAAACAAAAATTGCTAATTTTATACATATTTAAGCTTTAATCTTGAAAGTCCTCAAGATGCTGTTGACCTTCCCAGTTAATACACAGTTTAGTCAAGTGTATGTTAAATTTTATCAAAGTCAAACAAACAACTGATGGTACTAAATCATACTAATTATTTGTGTTCACATGTCAATTTGGTTTCATTACAAATTTTTATCCAAAATAATTCACAACTTTCACCAGAAGAGTGTTTACAATGCCATGGTCAAATTGTTCAAGCAACAAAAAATCACCCTTTAAATACGTGTACTTTTAATTGCATTAGACCAGAGATTTCATGCTTATATTTTATAAAGATCTCGGGTGAACTTTTCAAAGGTGAAATCAGTTCCTACCATTTTTAAACTGGGTCCGGGGTCCGTAGAATTGGGAAAATTGACGCGAAAACTGTTCAAATTGGGAAAATTTTAAAAAAGGACCAATTTCGTTATTTCCCCAAATCAATGAAAACGAAGTTACCAAAAAGTGTCTGTGTTACAATAGAGTAAACAACTGTAGACAGATATAAAGAGTCGCACATTATTCAGCTGTTGTTGGATGATAAAAAAAAAAATGCCAAAAAAAAATTGCTATATATTTTGACTTATCAATATATAAAAAAAATATTTAATGGCCATAATATTTTTTAATTGGATAATGAAAAATTCCAGAAAAAAATATTTAGTTT